ATCTTTGCTTCCTTGGAACACATCTTTAATTTAATACTAAATGGAATGAGAAAAAGAATTTATATTATAGAAGGTCATTTTATAGCCACTTTCTTAAGAGAACATATATTCCATTGAATGGGTCTATATCTATAGGCTTTAGCCAGTTAAATTCTAAGTTATATGAATGTTTTCATTTCACATTTATTGCCTTGCTGAATCAATTTTTTAAATTGAAGTATAGTTGACATACAAAGTTATATTAGTTTCAGGTGTACAACATAGTGATTTGACAATTCTAATCAATTTCCTTTTGTTGTTTGCCTAAAAATGAACCTCAGAGGGCTCCTAAGAGATTCTGATTAGAGCCCATATCAGAGGCTGTGATGTCAGTTGGCTGAGGATTTCAAATAATTCCATTTATGACCTTGGGTTTTGCTTAAATGCCCATTCTGAAAACCAGCTCCTTTAAATGGTACTAGACATTTTGTAATCCTGTGTAAGATTGCCAATATATTTATTTATTTTTAATTAAAATAGCATCTGCATCTCACTGATAATGTCAAAGTGGAATATCTGATCTAAAAGTCACAAATGAGCACCCTTCTCTCCATTCGAGTATGAATTAATAGCACAGGGGCGCCTGGGTGGCTCAGTGGGTTAAAGCCTCTGCCTTCGGCTCAGGTCATGATCCCAGGGTCCTGGGATCGAGCCCCGCATCGGGCTCTCTGCTTAGCGGGGAGCCTGCTTCACTTCCTCTCTCTGCCTGCCTCTCTGCCTACCTGTGATCTCTGTCTGTCAAGTAAATAAATAAAATCTTTAAAAAAAAAAGAATAGCACATGTAAATTGGTAGTTAAATCTTGGGAGATTGTAACATTTCAGAGTCTGAGAAGCCACATTTAGGCCCCAAATCATTCCACTGGAATAGGAGCATATAGAACTTGTTCTGATGAGATACGATATCTGTACTAATTTTGTTCTTACTTGTTGGGGTGATCTGCTCTTGTCTGGAAATAATTCACACCCCCTTGAATATTTTCTTAGTTTTGGTGCAGTGCCTCTCTCCATGGAGAGTCATCTCCCAAGGGTACTCTGCTTCCTGCAGCCTTTATGATTTTTTTTAAAGATTTTATTTATTTATTTGACAGTGATCACAAGTAGGCAGAGAGGTAGCCAAAGAGGGAGGGAAAAGCAGGCTCCCTGCTGAGCATAGAGTCCGATGCGGGGCTCTATCCCAGGACCCTGAGATTATGACCTGAGCTGAAGGCAGAGGCTTAAACCACCGAGCCACCCAGGTGCCCCAGCTTTATGATTTTATATTGCTTCATGAAATTCTGATTTCCAGGGTGTTGATGCACAAGGATTCCTCTGGCCTTGTAGAAACCCAGCCTTATTTAGAAATGTGTTAGACCTATGGAAGACATGAAAGTCAGACAGTGATAAAAACAAACTCTCCATGTGGAATTCATCTCAGTCTCAAAGCATAGATAACAAGAGGTGAAGTACTAGTAATAGAAAGAGAGTAATCAAAATATCAAAAAAACCCAAGGAGACAACATCTGGCTTCTTAGATATAAATGACTAAATCTTTAAATTACAAGTATCCCTGAAGACAATTACCAAGTTTATTTTCTAGAAGACTGCTAATGGGAGGGTATTCGAATAATGAAGCCAAGGGTCTTTTGTGTATTGACAGACTTCCGAGGGACTTTAACCCTTAAATGTTCAATGGCCAATTTTACTTGCTAGTATTTTTACTAGAATTTGAATCTTAATCTCTGGTAATAATTAAAGTATTACTACAGGGGTACCTGTACCTCAGTCAGTTAAGATTCTGACTTTTAATTTTGGCTCAGGTGGTGATCTCAGGGTTGTGAAATTGAGCCCCACATTGGACTCCATGCTGGGCATGGAGCCTGCTTAAGATTCTCTCTCTCCCTCTCCATCTGCCCCTCCCCCCACTTGTGTTCTCTTTATCTAAAAAATAAAAGAAAATAAAATATTACCACCTATCTGACAGATCATATTAAACATGTAAGACGTATCTAGTTTGAGTCTTTTCTAAAGTTGTCAAAGTGCATTTGTTTTTCAATATTGGAAATAGGGATTGCGGCCCAATGGTCTACCTTTCCTTTTTATATTTCAGCATTTCTTAAATTTGAAACATCATAATATATGTATAAATGTCCTATTGCTGAAAACTCCAAATCACTTTGCAAATAAAAAGGATTTGTGAGTGCAGCTGTATATGGGGAGTAGCTTGGCCTTAGGATTTTTAATGCATTTAGAGGAATTTCCAAAAAAAGAAAAAAAAATATGGGAAAACAACTTTCCTGTAAAGTCACACTTATCCAACAATTTCAATTACAAGTTATCAGAGGTAAGTTATATTAACAAATAGCTTAATAGCCATTTCTGTCAAAACGCCTGTTGAACACAGTTTAGGATTTATCTTTTTAAAAAGTGGTAAATAAAAACATTTCTGCCAGTGCTTTTTTATTCTTTTTTGAAAACTTGTACTTTTTGTGGAAGATTTTTCTGCCTCTGATATCCCTTTTCAATTGTCCTTTTTTTTTAAGATTTTATTTATTTATTTGTCAGAGAGAGAGAGGAGCAAGAGCAAGCACAGTCAGAGTGGCAGGCAGAGGAAGAGGGAGAAGCAGGCTCCCTGCTAAGCAAGGAGCCCAATGTGAGACTCGATCCCAGGACGCTGGGATCATGACCTGAGCTGAAGGCAGCTGCTTAACCAACTGAGCCACCCAGCTGTCCCTCAATTGTCCTTTTTTTGCTCCTATTTTCTTCCCACAATAGCAAACTAGCAAAAATGATTTACTCCCTTTTAAAAGTGTTTTGTGGTTGCATGCATTCTATTCTATTATGTTACAGTCATTAATCACTGTATTCTAAAAGCAATTATTACAACTTCTTAGCATTTTAACTCCATACAATTAAAGTTATAACGGTAGGGGCACCTGCATGGCACAGTCAGTTAAACATCTGACTCTTCATTTCAGCTTAGGTCCTGACCTCAGGGTGATGAGATCTAGCCCGGCCCCACCCTCAGCAGGAAGTCTACTTGAGATTCTCTCTCCCTCTCCCTCTGCCCCTCCTGCTGATGCTCTCTCTCTCTCTCCTTCTAAATAAAGCGCTGGGTGTTATATGCAACTAATGACTTGTTGAACACTACATCAAAAACTAATGATGTACTATATGTTGGCTATTTGAACATAATAATTAAAAAATAATTATATATATATATTTTAAAGATTTTATTTATTTATTTGGTAGAGATTACAAGTCGTCAGAGAGGCAGGCAGAGAGAGAGAGAGAGGAAGCAGGCTCCCCGCTAAGCAGAGAGCCTGATGCGGGGCTCGATCCCAGGACCCTGAGATCATGACCTGAGCCGAAGGCAGAGGCCTCAACCCACTGAGCCACCCAGGTGCCCCATAAATATATCTCTTAAACATTATAACAGTATGAAGCAATTCAAAGGGTAGTTCTTTACTACTTGTTGATGAAATGACAAAAGGAGAAAATATGTTGAAGGGAGAGGCAGAAAAATCCAATTTAGGACATTTATGTCCTATTGAGGGGAGGGGGAAGCTCACCCACTCCTATTTCTTGATACTGCTAAGTACAAAGAGATCTAGATAGAATTCAGTAAGGATCTAAAATTATGTACATTTTGGAAAGATATTGGAGAAGTTGCCTTGGCTATATCATTGGTTAAAACCAAGCATGGATTTCACTATCTGATAACAGCCTGTAAAGGAAAGAAACACAGGAAAGGAAATACCTTGATTTCAGAGAATCAAAACCTGGAAAAGGAGTCTTAAAACAATTTTGCTACAGTGATCTAACTGCCGTATGCTGTGTGGGAAAGACCATGCCTTTTCCCTGGAATGTACCTTGCCTAGACATTTTGCTTATCATTAGCTCTAGTAGTGCGTTCAGGGGCACTTGACATGTGGGGGAAGAGGAATCTTGAGCTACAGTGCAGGACGTGGAGCTCTAATTACTGGACCGTCAAAGCCCACAGACAAGGGAAAAAATGCAGTATTAAAGAGCGCAAACCCTTGCTCTTCTCTCATATTCTGTAATGACTGTTTTGAGTTATGCGGGAAATTTTCCTATCACTTTTAGCCAGGGACGGGGCAGGATCATCTTGAAAGTAAGGAATGGAGACTGAGTCTATTCCAAGACAGTGATGGAAGTACTTGTAAAATGAGGCATTCGTCCACCACTCCAAACCGAAGTCCCTCAGCCTGTTTTCCCAAGTGATCACAGGTTCACTGCGCCTGCTAATAGTGCGCAGGAGCGGGTTAGCAACCTGCAACTCCGGTTTGAGCGCGTTTTTTGGATGCTGGTTCCTCTGTGCGCTGGTATCAGAGAATTCACACTAAGAGCTCTAGATGGCCGGAACTGTTTACTTCTGAACTCACTCGAGTGCTTCTCCTGGAAGCAGGGCGAAGCTATCTCAGCCCCTCAGAGTTTGGGAGCAATGTGCAAAAGGAATTGGAGCGGCCACCACCCTTTCTTGAATTGAACCCAGGTGCAGGGTGGCACAGGGTTTCGAGAGGCACTTACTGGAGTCCCGCTTTTGTGTTCCCACCTCAAAGCCAGTGGGGCATGGAGGGGGAGGGGCTTGTAGCCTCGGCCACTTGGAGAGCTCTGCGTGATAATTGGCCGTTCTCCCGTCTGACGGCTAGGCAAGAAGCTGAGGAACTGTACCGCCCCCTTCTCAGGCTCCATCCTCCCTAACCAGCGAACCCAGAAAGGCCTCAGGTAGTTGGGAGGCCGGCCAGGGAGTCTCCACCTCCTTGAGGGGAGCAGCCATTCGGTGCGCTTGGGAGCCGAAGGGGGCGGGATCCATTGGCTGGGGGATGCTGCCAGTCTCGGAAGGGGGTGTGTTGGGGGTGGGTTCTTGGACCGCCGCGCGTCCGGGCTACTCGCTGTTCTTTGGGTGGTGGGTGAGCGTGAGCGTGTGAGACTGGCTCCTGTAGACTTGAGAACGGTTTGGAGAGAGCAGAGCGCGCCAGAGAGAGCGCGAGAGATTGAGGGAGCGAGTCCGAGCCGACCTAGAGGAGACACGGCGAGAAAACAGGGCCCGAAGACCTACGGTTTGAGACTGAATGACCATGGCTGTCTCCGCATCCCCGGTGATCTCTGCAACTTCCAGCGGAGCCGGCGTCCCAGGGGGCTTATTTCGGGCAGAAATCTCGTACTCGACTCCTGGAGAGCCTTCTCGTCTCACACATAATATGATCAATAGTTTCATGGCCAATAACCACAGCGGCAGCTCTGGTGTTGGCGGGATCGGTGGAGCCAGCGGAGGCAGCGGCAACACTAACACCAACGAGTGCAGGATGGTCGACATGCACGGTGTTAAGGTGGCTTCATTCCTTATGGACGGTCAGGAATTGATTTGCCTGCCGCAAGTCTTTGATCTCTTCCTGAAGCACCTGGTGGGAGGGTTGCACACGGTATACACCAAGCTGAAAAGACTGGACATATCCCCCGTGGTGTGTACTGTGGAGCAGGTCCGGATCCTCCGCGGTCTGGGGGCCATCCAGCCTGGGGTGAACCGCTGCAAACTCATCACCAGAAAAGACTTTGAAACTTTGTTCACCGATTGCACCAATGCCAGGTGAGATGTTCATTTTTTAGTTTGTTCTCCCCCTCCCCTTTCCCCTCTTTTGCATGTTTCATCACTCTCACCCAACTTTGCGGAGTGTCTTAACTAGCTTGCCTCTACTGTAAGTCGGTGGGGAAAGAGGACTAGAAGGACTAATTGCCCATCCCGTCTAGTCCTCGCTCAGTGGCAGGGCTGGGTCTAAGATAAGCCCCGCACAAACTTCAGTTTGCTCTCCTCTACTGAAACTTTACAGCTTTTCGCCCATATCTTGCATGGCTCACTGGCTGCTTGTGGTTATTTGTTAATTTCTCTACGTGGTTTTCATTCCTCTTTTGTGGCCGTATGGGTCGAATAGGTTTTCTCTTTCTCCTGAACAGAGACACCAGGGACTTTCTAGGGGAGAAAGCTGGCAGAACTGTAAACTGGGCTTCTGAGCTAGCAATCCAGAACACAGCATTTGGGGGATGGATAGGGTCGGAAGTCTAGGATCCATCCCAGAGGGTGATTCGTTCCCCATCATGTGTGTTTGTTGTGAGAGTAGGTGGGGTGTGTGATGGTGGTGGTTGTGGTGGTGTGTGGATAAATGTGTGCACGCGCGCGTGCATGTTTGTGAGTGAGAGCAGACAGAGACACAGATTGAGAGAGAGCAAGAGAGCTTGTTCAAGAGAGAGCGTGCCTATGAGGGAGGACGTGTCCATATGCCCTCTGTGCAAAGCTCCCCCGTTCACGATACAGTAAAGTCGATGGATCCCATTTTTTAAAAAAGAACGACGACAGATGTCACTTTCCTGGGATCGTCCCTTTTGGGTCATCTGCAGGGGACAATGTGGGGCATGAAAACCTAGGGCTGGGAACTGGATGAGGGTTGAAGGAGAAGTTGGAGAGGATGCTTCCAGCTCTTCTCCCCAGGCAAGAAGTTGGAAGGATCCTTTTTCCCCAAAGAGAGGATTTCTTAAGTGATGATGACCAGCTTCTGTGGTTGTAAGTGTACCTCCTTCATAGGACAGTAGAATAAATGTTCATTGGCATATGTCCATAAGCAAATTGTATTCAATCTTTCTAAGTTTAAAAAAGAAAGTAAAGTAAACTATATTCAAGATTATTTGAATTTTTAAGGACCTGTGAATTAGTTTTGTACTGTTTATTCCATCTCCAGTCTGGTGACATTTGTTAGGTGTGTACACATTTGGCATACAAACCAAGAAACAAACCATCATCAGGTTAAAGGGAGCAAAGGGTTTTGTTGTAAAACAGCACGACTTTTGATCATTTTGCAGAAAACTTCTGCAGAGGTAGACTTTCTCACAATGCAACTTCAAATCATAGGAACCCCTTTTTACCAACTTAAAGGAACTCAGCTGTCAACATCTGTTGTAAAATCCAAATTACTATGTAGAGTTGAAGTATACTGACACCTTGTAGACAAACTGTTGCTGACTGCTACAATAAGGTAATGCTACAGAACTTACAAGGTAACCCTTTTTCCTACACAGTGTCCTGTGTTCTGGCAATTAAACAGAAACCCGTTTATATGAGAACTTCTACGTGATTCATATCTGGGGTTTACAAACCTGGTTTATTAGATAAAATTTTCTTAAGGTAGATAGATGGTCTTAAAACACAAAGGATAACTGCTCCCTTGATAAACAATTATAAGTTGTAAGAGTAGAAAGGAAATCTTATTTTGACCACAAAGCACTTTCCTAATACACAAACTCAGAAAGTTACCAGGACCTTCAGATGAGGGCCATCTAATTCATGTGTTGCCAATTCAAAAAGACACATTTAAACAATTGCAGAACTGAAATCCTATCTTTCCCCTCTCTTTCTCTCCGCCCTCTTCCTCCCTCTCCTCCTCACTCCCTTCCTGCTTCTCTCTTACAAACACCCACTATTAAGGTGGAACAATTACTACACACAGGAAATTTGTCCTACCTTAATAATTAATTTACACATCCTTGAGCAAAATCTATGACTTTCATTTTAAAAATAAATAGATTAGTATTTTAATGTGACTTTGATGCTTTCCTCTAAGTAGAAAGTTTTCTTTAATTAATTTTTATTAGAGCTACTTGCTGAAGGGAAAAATGATAAATTACTCTGTATCAAGAGGGAGGTGTTCTTATACTATTTTTGGACCTATTGTATGATATGTTTTTAGGTTATCATTTTAATTCAGTTAAGTTTTATTTACTCCTTATCATAGCATTTACAGGGCTAACTTTTTTGGAGGGCTTATATTGCTTTTGTGTATATGGATATATAAAGACAATAGGAGAATATTAAAAATATAAGAAGAAATATGTATAAGATATGATGCCAGTGTCTACTTTTGCATTTATTTCTTTATGGGTATGTTTTTGATTAACATGCATTTTCTATAGGTTTGTTACGAGTGTTACAGTATATGATTGTAAAAATTTATTCTAGAAATATTAGAAATATATTCTATGAATGCAGCCCATGAATGGAGATGAGGAAAACTACCAGAAATACACTTATATTGCAATTTCTAGATAGGAAAAACAACAACAACAGCAAACACTCCACAATATCTGGGGAAAATCTTCTTAATGGTAAAATAACATTACCAAATTTTATCACTGCAAAATGCCCTCATAACCATGTTAAGAACTACAAAACATGATAATGCTTATAATGGATGCTTTATGACTGTAGGTAACATTATTTACAGAAATGTGTACCTTAAATCATTCTCAACATCTGAATGATTTTATAAAATTGTGAAATTATTATTTAGATCAACATTATTTCTATGACTTTTCTAGTCAGTGAAAAGAAAGGTGAGGAATGTAAATAGGAATGAGACTCAAGAGAAACAAAATAAGTTAGATAAGACATGAAGCCAGTAAGAGAAAAGAGATGTAGGATATGAGCAGAATGATGCTATGAGAAGAGGTGAAAGATGGATCAGAAGAGACTGAAGAGATGCTCAAAGAAATGAGTGATGAATCAACAGAGACTTGGCTAAAGAGGATTGTTACTGAGGACTCATGACTTAGCTCTTCTGGCTAAAGGGGAATGCAAGGAAAAAGTATATATATGTTCAGTGACTGGAAACTCTCATATCCTATTCTTATTTGAGAAAAGAGATTCATCTGCATCTCCCGATGAATAAATTTCCATAATGTATTGTTCAATGGGAGGCTTATTTGTAATGGTGTCATTGGCAATTTTCTTTTCCTTCATAATAAGCATTTCTTCCCCTCTCTGTCAGTTAACTAAGGGAGAGTACCAGTCCTGACTTAGGGTATTCTAATTTGGAATGCTTCCTATACTATTCCAGAAGACACAAAATATACTATTTTCAAATTGGTCATTTTCAAAGACCTTAACGTATTGCCACTGAGTGGTATTTGGGTTCATTCGACTGGGGACATATTTTTATTAATGTACACAGAAGAAAGGTGAATGAATAAAATACATACATGATTGTTTCTTTGAAACTACTGAGAGTCACAAGAACTCTATCAGTGCTTTATATTAACTGTTTTGTTATTAGCTAATTTTCAAAATATTCAAACTTGTTTTCCTAGAAAAGAAGTTGGAAAATAATACCTGCCTTTGCTACTAGAGAATAGTTAAGATGAAAAAAAATCTTGACTATACATTGTTCTATTAAATAAATCAAACTTTGCATCCCTGCAATTCCAAAGGGCTATGCAATATTTTTTCCTTGATGCTTTTTTTTACTTCAGAAACTAATTGTAGGGAGATTATTCTCAAGATTTTTAAGAAAATGAAAAAAAAAAAAAAGACCAAAACCAAATGGGAAAAGTTATCTTGTTTTAGGTCTTTTTTTTTTTTTCAGCTAAGGCACTGTAATTTTTCTTTTTAATGTCTTGTGGAGCAAAACTTGGAATTCTTAACATCAGAGAAGGCAGGTTCAGAAAGCAAATGCCTAAAAATCTCACTCTCATGCAATGGATTTTCCTTACTAAATTCTTCAAAGTTTAATGCAACGATAAAATATTCAGTTAAAAATTGGTATTCAGTAAATGTGAAAATCAGACAGCACATTTTAGTGTTATCTCTTTTTATCTACCTATCTATATAAAAGTAATATTGTTAGATTTCATGATCAGTATTTCATTTGAGGATCAACTAATTAAATGTTATTCAGTCATTTATGTGTAGTTAAATGAATACTTAGAGAAACAAGAATGTATGATTAAGAAAACATTTAAATGTATTTGGAGACATGAGTCAATATATATTCAGATGAGTAAAATTCAGTGTTTTTAAATTAAGATTTAAATGATCCAATTGTGATTGTTAGTTTGACCGTGTGAATAGAACATAAATGGGCATCCATCGTAGAATAACTTTATGTGAACTCTGACTTTAAAATAATTTAAAAATACTTTCAAATACAAGAAATACAGTTTTTGTAAGTCCTCAATGATTTTGGCTTTGTATTGACAGTCGATGAATATAGTTCATAATCCACATAGAGTAGCAATTTACTTTAAAAGTTGATGTTTTCATTCATAGGAAAGTTATACAAAGTCAAATTTTTGAAGAACTTGCATCACTTTCTTGGGCTAATATTTTGTATGACAACATTTGCAGAATAAAAAGATTTTAGAAATTAATCTGGGCAGTAAATGCAGACATTTTATTTCATAGGATAATGAGGGGATGGTCGGTTTGTCTATTAAAAGCAGTTACTTAGTCGTCATTGTTGTCTTTTATTAGAATGATGTAAAGATTATAATTAAAATGGTTTAGTCCTGAGAGGAGATGCAACATGGGGGGTTAATGTGGTAGGAGAAGAGTAAATGAAACAAGTTGGGATTGGGAGGGAGACAAACCATAAGTGACTCTTAATCTCACAAAACAAACTGAGGGTTGCTGGGCAGAGGGGGGTTGGGAGGGGGGGGTTATGGACATTGGGTAGGGTATGTGCTATGGTGAGTGCTGTGAAGTGTGTAAACGTGGAGATTCACAGACCTGTACCCCTGGGGAAAAAAAAATATATATATATATGT